TTCGGTCCCATTAATCTATTCACCAAATCTTTCATCTATCACCATAGATAGACTTATGTCATTGGCATTGTTGCCTATGATGTGATATATTCAAATTATTGATCCAAGATATAATCGAGAGCTGTCGGTTAGGACACAATTTATTGATGAGTCTCACAATTTTTTTTGCCAAACCTTGCTCTATCATTGCCAATGGAATCATGATATTTTTTGTTATGATATAGGATATGTTTGGGGTAGTTGCAATTTATTAATAAGCTGTTGCGCAGTAACATGTGTCAGGAAGCTGTTGCGGATAAATTGATTATCTGTTTATTTTTTGCAGTTTGAAAACAACTGTGTTGTACTGTTTTCTGGACAAATCACAATTTCATCCCTGTATTGTAATGTTGTTTACAACAGAACTATTTATTCTAGCTCATCCCATACTTGAAAGCAAATATTCAGTTTGAATATTACAAAATAAAAATAGACACTTCACTAAACAGTGAGTATCAAAACTATCAAAATTAAAAAAGAAATACTAAAATAACAATCAATAATATGATAATATTATTTTTAAAATGCAGTTGGTGTATTTCACAAGATAGACCGTCCTCCAAGCAAACTCTCCATGCCCAATTACTCTTGGCAGTGGAATCCTACAACCATCTGCCAACCTGAAGAAGTCAAGATTTTCGGCTCTTCTCCATGGATACCTATAAAATTTTCTCCCGTAGCTATGTGGCTGCCGCGAAGTAAGGAGAGAACATTGTAGTCTGTAGTAGCAGCGCAATCCTCTGAAGGTACCGGAAATCTTCAAGCTCTTCTTTCCTGAAGGCTTAAAAACAGATTGTGTTAGATATAACAATAGTAGAAATTCATAACAGAAGTAATTAATTAATGATTTATGTAGCAGTGATGTCTTTGAGAACTCGGTATACCAACGAATCTGTCACTACAAGAAGACAACGAACTTTATAAAAAAAGGGTTCTTGGTTGCCTACCCACGTAATACTAAGTCCGTGTGTGTCACATATACATATCATCAAAAAATTGTCATCCAGAAGAGCCTCAAAAACCATAATACTGAAAAAGGAGAGGAATTTGGTTGCCTTCATTAAGATTTCATATGTGACACCAACCAATAACGAAATATAGGTCATTCAGAAGAACCTAAATAGGTCAAACATCTCACCATAAACCTCCAAAACCCATAAAAAAAGACATGCAATATTTGAATGCATATATTACCCACAGTTGCCTCATCGATCATCCAAGTGGGAGAAAAATACATGCAAAATGGAAAGAAATACGCATTACTTAAAAAAGAACTTATACAATAAATATCCATGCATTAGAAACAAAAATATACAATCTTCTTTTTTATTTGTAAATATCCCAAAACTCATCAATCATCCTGATATAGTTATGTAAATATCCCAAAACTTCTTTTTTATTTGTGTTATAGGTTTTATTTTTCACCCAAATAATCCTATCATCCAAAACTTCTTTTCCCCAAAAATTCTATTAGCAAAATTTTATCCAACTAGCCTACACCAATCCCACATAATCCAATCATTCAACAAGGTCCATTTACATACACAACACAATTCAAATGAATTTACATATCTCACACAATAACTTCATTATTTATGCAAATAACACTCAAATCTGTAAAACCACATTAAAATGAATACCATTACAACATCCTGAACACAGGGAAATCATGGTGTAGTAGTAAAATACGCATGAGTACGGCTGTCATCATTCTTCAAACTTCAAATTATGGATGCAAACGCCATTAATGTAAACATATAAAAATTGTGTGCTGAGTTTGTAAATTTTTCTAAACAATGTAGAAAAAGGAGAACTCAAAACATTCTAAAATCCCCACAGAAAAAGGAGCACCCAAAACATTGCTGGTAAAACCAGCTAGCATCCAAAATTCCCAATCCATATTCATAACGTACACAACACCTTAAACATTGTTATTAACAAATGCAACGCCAACTATCATTCTTTTCTCAATATTTTCACTCAAAGATCAAAATTTATTATGAAACCCCAATCCATATTTATGAAATACACAACAATTAAAAGATTATTATTTATATATCGCTCCAAGCATTTCTCAAATTCGCACTCATATATAACAAATCAACGTAGGAAGAAGGTAAAAATGACAAAACCTTTAGGGTGGTAGGTATGTAATCATACCAAAAAAAGCAAAACCAACGTAGGGACTGACGCTATGTATGCATGAACCAAATACCACAAAATGATTGAAATCGCAAAGCACATAGAAAAATTAGGGTTATAGCCACCGAAAATAGAGAAAAAAAGGAAGTCACCGGTGCTATGTATGTAAAAATCTAAAAAAAAATTTGTGCAAACCATATGGCTCATAGAGCAAATCAACAAACAATATATGAGGGGAAGAGGATACCGGAGGAATAAGGAAGCAAACGTCGGCAAAAACCCTATCCAGATGTGTTGGCGAGCGAAGGAGTAGAGAAAAACCCTAGGCAAATCACTTGTGGGGTGAGGCTGAGCGAGAGGGAGGGCACGAGGGTAAAGAAAGCCAAATAACTTGGAAAAAGCCCAGACGGTATCGCGGTGGAGCTTATCGACCAAACGAACGGAATTGCGCACGAGAGCAGAGGATAAATTGTCCCATAGTATATTCACATTATTGATCTATGGTATCGTGGATAGTCACTTAGGCACACAAGCCTAAATGAGACAATCAGATTGACCTAAGAGAAGCCATCATTCGATTGGAATTTCATTATGGAAGGAATGTAATCTCTGCTATTTATTATGGGATATTTAGAAAAAAAAGAAAATATTATTGATATGAATTAAAACAACCCTCTAGCCATCAATGAGTGTTATTTTCAATTAATTTGATGAGTTTATCTCTATGAATCAAAATGCTCCAAACAAGTTCCTTGTCTAACGCTCGTGGATGAGACACTGTTCTTTAGCATTATGTAAGTATTTTGGGTGACTGCAACACAATCATTTATTAATCTTACACTGCTCTTAATATTCTGTGAATTTCCTTACCCTTGGTGCAATAAAATAGTGTCTACCGTATCAATTTCTACTGTATCGTCCTACTTTCTGCTCTGCATATTCTGTCAGTTAATATTTGAAGTAAATGATACAACTTTTTCTTTTCTTTTGGAATCATTCAACAAAGTTGTCTTTCCCTATTATGGATTGTTTCTTCATTTGTTTTCTGAAAGAGGATCATTATCTTTATCCAAAGAAGTAGGCAGGTTGGAGTCTGTCCTCAAGATCTTAAGAAAGACTTACAACTACATCTGTTTATTAGTCAGGGATGCCTAACGCAATGACGTCAAATGCGGTCTGCACAAACGGTCAGCTCATGTCCATTGAAGATCAAGTGGCCATCACTCCGAGAAGGCTGAGCGCCGGTGATTTCCTTCTGGGCATCAAACTCTCCTTATTATTTATCAATCACCTCTAATACCAAATTAAGTATCAACTAAAAGCATTGATCATATAATTTATTTTAAAATTTGTTAGATCCTTGGAGTAAAATATTTAAACCATAGAAGATCTTTAAGTAGACGCCAAGAGTTGTGATTTGTGGTTACAATCAGGAGCGACAAACTAAGAAACGAGAAATGTGACATTATAAATTTTATTGATAATATCTTTTTTGAGACGAGCTTAGAGTTGTGATTAAGTTGCTTCTGTCATATTTTGAAAGCCCCAAATTCAATTCATGGGAACCATTTTTCAACAAATGGAGAAAATAGATTGTATATGAGAACTCCTTAAACCTTGTAGATGTTATAGCTCCATGCATTGGGTATAATTAGCTTTTTATCCTAAGATATTGATTAATAGGTAACTTTTATTGAATAAATTAACCTTGGATTTTTGAATAGCTTTAGAATGGGGAGATTGAAAGAGGAAGAAAGAAGTTGAAATGGAACTAGAAGATAATTTATTTGGTCATTAGCTAAAGGTTAAAGGAACGAACAAGGAACTTGAACTTAACATATATGTATAGGAGACATCAGATTGAGGAAGTGACCTTCATCCAGTTGCACTACACTTATGCTTGATTGTGTAATTTTTTCATAGGTAACAATATTCATACTAAATATTACAAAATTTCACATACCTTGAGGATAAAAAAAATGTCAAAGAGTTGTTTTTCATATTTCATGGCATGCTTTCTTTTTTTTTTTTTTTACTGTTTAATGGAATTGCCATCTTAAGTTTTTATCATTAGATTAAAAAAAAATGTTACAATATTGTCATATGTGAGTAATTAGGATCAATAAATCAAAGTACCTATGTTGAATGGTGTAATGGCACTTAGCATTGTGGAGCTTGATGAATTTTAAGAGTAATTATAAATGTAGATATGGTGTACCAATATCTAGGACATGTTTTTTAATTCCCCTTGGTTTGCCTCTCCACAAGCAACATGCAGGTGGCCTCCATTCACACTGACATGCTCTTATCAATGCACAATTGATTCAAGAAAATTTAAATTTTTTTAAGCAATTGCACGTCTAATTATCATCTGCTTCACAAGAAATTCTAATTGAATGATGGCTTATTTTCAATTAATTTGATTAGTTTATCTCTATGAATCAAAATGATCCAAACAAATTCGTAGATGGCACTTTCTTTGGCATTATAGTAGTATTTGGGGTGACTGCCACAATCATTTATCAACCTTACGCTGCTCTTAGTATTTTATGAATCTCCTTAGTATTGGTGCGCACATGCCCATGGATAGAATAGTGCTCTTTAACACGCAGATGCTTCTCATCATTATTCTCTTAACAGATTTTTATTCTGCCATATCCATTTCTAATGTACAGTCCTATTTTTTGCTCTGCATATTATGCCCGTTAATATTTGAAGTAAATGCTGCAACTTTCATTTTTCTTTGGGAACCATTCAACAAAGTTCTCTTTCACTATATCTATATGATGGATTGGTTCTTCATTTGTTTCCTGCAATAGGATCACTGTCTTTATCCAAAGAGGTAGGCAGGTTCGAGTCCATCTTCAAAATCTCAAGAAAGACCTTCAACTACATCTGTTCTTTAGTCAGGGACGATCTAACGGCAAAGACATCGAATGCAGTCTTTGCAAATGGTCAGGTCATGTCCATTGAAGATCAAGTGGCTATCGCTCTGCGAAGACTGAGCTCCGGCGATTCCCTTCTGAGCATCGGCCTCTCCTTTGGTCTCAACCATTCAACTGTCGCCCAGGTGACCTGGCGATTCATCGAGACCATGGAAGAGAGGGGTATTCAACATCTCCAATGGCCAAATTCTGAACAAGAAATCAAGTCAATCAAATACAAGTTTGAGAGAGTCCGGGGTCTGCCAAACTGCTGCGGAGCCATCGACACCACCCACATCATGATGTGCCTGCCTTCCGCAGATTCTTCCAACAAGGTATGGCTTGATCCTGAGAAGAACCATAGCATGCTACTCCAAGCTGTTGTCGACCCCGAAATGAGATTCAGGGACATTGTTACTGGATGGCCGGGAAGCATGAATGAATTTGCCATCCTTCATGACTCCGGCTTCTTCAAGCTCTGCGAAAAGGGGTTGAGATTGAACGGAAAAACGGAGCTCAAAGAGGGATCTGAAATCCGGGAATATATAATTGGAGACTCAGCTTTCCCGCTCCTTCATTGGCTTCTCACACCTTATCAAGGAAAAGAATTATGTGCTTCAATGGTGGAGTTCAATAAGAGGCACTCTGCCACTCGAATTGTGGCGCAGAGGGCATTGGCGAGGTTTAAAGATATGTGGAGGATAATTCAGGGGGAGATGTGGAGACCAGATAAGCATAAATTGCCAAGGATAATTCTTGTTTGCTGTATTCTGCATAATATTGTTATTGATTTGGAAGATGAAGTGAGGGATGAGATGGTGCTGTCTCACCACCATGATTCTAATTATAAGCAGCAGGTGTGCAGCTTTGCTGATAAGGATGGAGTTTCTGCAAGGGATAGGTTGTCTCGTTATTTGTCTGGAAGGTTTCCTCCATGAACTGAGCCTTAATGTTGATTGTTCTTCTTCTTCATTTTTTTTTCTACCATACAATTTACGAACTATGGTTATCTTCTGAACTAATCTTTTTTTTCTCTTTATGCTAAAGAGGTACTTCTTGCTGGCAAACACCAGCTGATTTTTTTTTTTTTAAATCTTCAATTGTATTTGAAGATCTTTTTAAAAAGCATTAATCTTTGATCAAATCTGACATCTGAGTTTCTCCTTCTCTGATGGGTAATTTCAGCTCCGTTTCGCTTCATGATTTACATCACACAATATGAAATGATGAACTATGCTCTACCTGAAGATTTATGTGTCCTGTTGGACATATAAGTGGAAATTATTTGTAAACTTTGGGGCTTGTGCTTGCTGATTAAACTTTGAAAGATTAATATACATACCACTTAATTCTTATGTATCTACATATCTAGCACATAAAATTCAATTTTTACAAGTCTCCTTAAACTTACATGAAAAAAAAAGATGCATTTCACTTTTTTAAGAGAGAAAGGTTAAAATGATGACATGTTGTTATAGGATATGAAAACTTAGGAGGTATAAATATAAAAGATAAAATTTTGGAGTTAGAAATGTAAATATATTGGAATTGGGTTGTATTAGGCAAACGCCCCTTCAAACTTTTTGTTTGAATAAGAATTTATTCAGCTCAAGGAAAGATCATAAGGGGCCAGAAGGGAGTGCAGGAAGAGTGAAAATATATTTTGTGCTAATTGCATGTTAAAGCTTTGTTAGCTTCTTTGGAGATTACTCAACCTGGTTTCTTCTCTCTCTCTCTCTCTCTCTCTCAATGAAGAATATCCCCTTCAGATGCGTGGTATTATTATAAATAGAGACATTTAAATCTTATTTTTATAACATGCAATATTTTTGTGTTGCATATAAAAGTATTTGGCCCATGGAGTATGATAGCTGTAGATTTATTGTGTATAACAAAGCTGCCCCATATGATAATAAGCTCTATCTTTCTGAACCAACCGAAAATCTCTTTATGGCAATCAATCTCATATTCATGTTGAAAGCTTTTGGTACCCAATCAAAATACATTCAGATTTCAGATGATAAGTATTCCTGTTTCCAGTGCTCATGAACTTCCAAACACCTTTAAGGCCCCTTGGAAGTTAGTTTCATATTTTAATAACTGGAAACAAAATAAAACCTTCATACATATGAATAATTGAGTATAATAAACAAGAAAATCATCTTAATACCTGAATGAAAATAACACAACATTAATCCTAATGGCAATTTTTGCTATAATTTGCAAAGTTCATCAGGTTTATGGGTGGGCATTTTAACAGAAATAAAATTTTCCAGACCTACATGAATATAGCTCGCAAGTTCCATGACAAAAACTCTCCAATCAAGTTTAAAAAATCTTCAGAGCTTGCTCGATCATCTCATCATTTGAGAAGGGATCTGGCTAAGTGTTCGCGTGCTGTTGCAAGGGCTTGAGTTATAGTCTGTGTGGAGGAAAATTTGGCCAAATTAGATCCAAGTTCTCAAAAGATGAATAAATAGATAAATAGTTGGGAGATTTACATACATAACACACAATTCTTATATGCTTACATATTCTAACACCTAAACTTTCATATTTACTTTTATAGCACATCGGTGTCTTAAAACTATGCAGGAAAAACTGGGTTTCACGAAGAATTAACATATATTAAAATTTTAGTGTTATGAATGTAAATATGAAAATTTAGTTGTGAAACATATAAATACAAAGGAATTGGTGGTGTGAATGTAACTGCCCCTAAAAGGTTTTCTATATCTCGCTTTCTGGTGGAGTGAGAACTCGAGGGATAAAGAAATTTCATGCGTTTGCAACCATCATAACAGGCTAGTCTTAAACCGCAAAATAAATGTTTATCGGTAAGAAACCTGATTATCAAAAGATGAACCGGAATGTCAAATGAAATTAAGAAACAAAAAAATATTTTACCAACATACCAACATATAAATAAAACAAGATTCACATGCATAACACACAATTCCTATGTATTTAAATGTCTAGCATCTAAACTTTGATTTTTATATTTATCCCACTTTATCTATGCTTGAAAAAGGTGTTTCACTTTTACTAGTAATAGTTGTATGTTTCACAGCTTTGAAAACCAAACTGAACTGGCCGGTAGGAAAGGTCCAACTAGAAAGCGGGCATAGTTCCAGTCTGAGTGGGAGTAAGAATTGGATTTACAGCGAACCAACATGGAACCGCTCGAACAGCCGGTCCAACAAGAAATGCGAAAAACCATTCCCAATTTAAGAGAACCGGTCAGTTCCCTCATCATCGACGCAATCGCCTCACTATTTGTCATCAACTTGAAATGAATTGTTCTGGTTCTTTTGAATCTTCTTTCGCCATTTGGATAAAACTTTTCAAAATTTATAAGACTTGTCTCACCGCAACAAGGAAAAAAAAAGGTACAATGGAGAAGACAATGGGATGAAAGCAATCCATACGAGTACTCTGCATAGGGAGTTTCCAATGGAGAAGAAAGCCATTGGAGACAGTCGAGAATGGACTTTTGAAGAAGAAAATGATTACACAATGGCAAAGAGTTCCTCAGCAACACGTGGCAGAATCAGCAATGGGAGAAAGGGCAGCCAACCATTTCGTAGGATCTCATGCTAGCGTGGCAGATGAGAGCACATGGGAACCGCGAGGAAAATAAGTTATATGATGGTTGAGCTGCAGATTGGGAGGGATGTTTCAGTAGATTTTACAACATTTAATTTTTATTCATTATAACCTTTTTATTTAAGTTATTATGGTGTGATCTTATATTTCATATTTATTTTTTTTGTAAATCAATTGTTGTTAAATTTTGAAATAACATGCCAAAATCATTATGGTGCTAGTTATTTAAATATTGAGGCATTTATTTAATATTTCATAATCAATTTTTTTTAAACTACATCATTTATATCATATTTAAATAAATCTATAATTTATTATGTCGTCCGGTTCTACCCCGGTTCAGCCTTTGAACCTAGAACCTATCCCTTTACCAATTCAATGTCTGGTCTGGGTCTGAGAACCTTAGTATTTTTTATATGACATGAAAGATTCAAGTATTATAAATGTAAAAGAACAAAGTTTAGGTGCAAGATATGTGAACATATAAGAATTGTGTGGCATGTATAAAATGCCTCACAAAACAAATAAAGTCATTGAAAAGAATGCTTTTGTTTGGATTATGAGCACTCCTCTTCTATCCAACAAATTGAATCAAAACTTGAACTGATTCTCTCTCTATTTCTCTCTTGAATATTTGTATGATGATTCTTTATTTGCTTGTGTGTCAACAAATGGTATGATAATTATGTTTTTTTTTTTGGTACCTGCTCAGACAATGAAGACATCCCATCAAGGGTATCTGAGGTGGTCTTCCCAGCAATGACACTAGCTTCAGTTTCCAATATCATCCTGAAAGCAAGAGAGTTCCAAATAGCATAATTATTTTGTGGATTACATATATAGCATTCACTTACGGCATTGCACCGTGAAAGAATGATGCCTAGCACGCTAGAAAGAATTGAGCACAAAAAATAATGTTTTAATCATACAACCTTTGTTGTCAGCTGATTAACAGTGCGAGACCAATTTTTTTAAGAAGAATAATGTTTTAGTTACAAAACATTTGTTCTATCAGTTGAAAATTCAGCTAAAGTTGCAAATTAGTAAATATTTCTGAGGTCAAGATGTAATGAAATAAGCAGAACTTGGCCTACAATAATTTAAAACAAAAAAGAACAGTTCTATTGGCTGTCTTTCACAAAAATACCTTTATTTTGAACTTATATTCATCATCAACAAATCTAATTAGTAATAAAACTTTAAGGTTTGTGCGCAAATTGCATGAGGAGAAAAAAAGCTACCCTCCATCAATAATTTCATCGAGGCACAAAAGAATCAGATCCAAATTTTCAAGTGCTGTCCTCTTGTCTACGTTATTTCTGTCATGAAAAGGCATCCAACTATCAGCCATCAAAATTTAATAGAAAATTGTTGCATGGCTTAAAACAAAATTATATTTAAATACCGAAGTAATGACTAAAAGTTTCATGACCTGAGAATAAGACCAACTGCATCGAAGAATCCCTGAAGCACAGTTGCTAGTATAAGCTCATTCTCATTGTCCCCACCAGTAACATAAAAATGGAGGTCCTGAATGAACTTGTACACAACAATGTAGCCATCAAACATGACTATCTCAGCTGCAAAGATTTGTTGCTCATTCAGAATCCAACAAAAAGCTTAAATAAGTTGTTCTTCATAGCCAAAGGAAAAAAACAATCAGCATTAAGAAGGCAAATACTTTTAAAGCTTGTTTTCTTTTCAGTGCTAGAGAGAAATGATAGAAGCCCCGAATTATCAGGAATACTGAACAAACATTAGAAAAAGTTTTAACGTGATTATAAAATATGGTAAGCCAGACAGTATAATATTATGTAAGCGCATGGATAACTAAGTACAATTTATCAAACAAAAAATCTGTTATAAGACTTGAGCGCAAAAGTACGCTGTTAATAGATTATATGCTTTTGACAAATGCAGACAATTGGAATCACTACAAAAATACAATAAAAGTATTGTTACCAAGGATTATAATCACTTTCACAAGGTTAACTCTGTTAATTTGGAATTTATAATCACTGTGGACTGGAGCCAGATTGACTTGGAAAAGAAAGGTTGATTAAAGCTGAAGTGTTAAGAGCGGAACCGTGCAAGTATTATCATACAGCAGAAAGTTTTAGAACGAAAGCGGTCCTAGTTACTAGCTTACCGATATGGGCAAAATGAAACTGCTACATATAGCAATCAAAGAGTTCGACAAACCTATAATGGAATTTATTTTCAAGTGATAGTGAACACCAACCATTATTATTCAAATCATTTTACTGTCACTAAAACTAGCGATCATTTATTTTATTTTGGTGGTAGGTTATTTTTATTGTCTGGAGTTCTAATGAGGCATTTTATTAAGGACATTTCTCTCATTATAGATAAGTTAGTCGATTGGAGACAAACTGGAAGCTGAGAGTGAAGTGCGCTATTATGTACTTCATTTTTCATTTTCTTTACTCCTTTCTTTCATCTGTTCATCCATTTCCTTCATCTGTTCATCCTTCCTTGTAACTCTCTTACCGCTCTCAAGCCCTTTTCACTCTGCAACCAACCCTTCCTCCTTCTAATACCCCAAGTTGAAGCCATCTCTTCATTATCTACCGTACGTTAATCCTCCACATAAATACAAAAAAAAAAAGCTACATAATAACTGTACCCGAGAAACCCACAATTCCTCCCAAAACCTTCCTGTACTAGTTATATACAGGATAAATCCCATCAACAACACACACAGACTATATCTCATCCCATCTATTACTCTTTGGCAATCCATCTTATAAACAAATCTCATCTAACACGGCTCAAGTAGTTCCATGGCAAGCAGAGCGATCAAGGCCGATCCTAAGAAGCTGCTACAAGGGAAGTTGAGCAAATAAAGGATTTTTTTATGTTTCGCTACATACAACAACAACAACAACAGCAATAAAGCCTTAATCCCACTACGTGGTATGTTGTGCTACATGCCAATGTCTAAAAAAGAATAGAACTGCACTAACCTCTATGGTAACATAAAATGAAGCATGAACGCACATACAAGCATCATGAAGCTGGTTCAAACAATACTACTTTTGCAAAAGTTGGCTTCTCACCAGAAAGTAAATATAACATGATTTAGGAAGAACAGAGTAATTACAAAAGGATGACCATAACATCTCGACATTCAACCCTTGTCTGCAAAGATTTTAAGCAGTTGCTTTAATCGTCCGAAAATACCATTCCCAACACCATAAGAAAACCCCCATGCTCAACTGATGAAACAATATCAAACTTGACTGCAAATCCCTGCAACTAATTCCATGCTTGAGTATAACAATCTGTTCGTTATGCCTCAACCATACAGTTCAGGCTGATATCACCATGCCTCAGCCATACAGTTAAGGCTGATATCACCATGAACTCCAGAGTTAAGCACATTCATTAATACCTCAAGCCAACTGTTGACCCTATGAAAAATAAATAAATAAAATAACTAATATTAATGGAAGTTTTGGAGTGAGATATGCAAATCCATAAGAATTAAGTGCTATTTATGTAAAGGCCCCAAATTATAACAGGGTCATTAGTCCACTGGCTAACTGACGCGCAGACAAATCTTTGTTTGTGCTTGAGATCCAGTTTGCAACCCACACTACATAAATTTTCTTTTTATATCCAAAATCCCCTCAAAAAGATCAAACAACAAGATTGCCAATAAAAAGAAGCATATCAAAATCCAATAAAACAATACTTATTCAGATAAAATCATTCAAACTGGCAAAAGGGATCGACTTTTGTTGATTTTCAAACCATGGTACATGTATTAATATGCATATAAAATAAATAAATAAGATAATTGAAATCGAGAAGGTACAAATCAAACAGATTTGAGTCAAACCAATGCAAATCAAACTAATCCAAGCCACAAGATGATTAAAAACTAGTGCTAGATCAGCTCAAAATCCAGCTCCTTATCAGCCTTAAACCCACCAAAATAAGATTGTAATAAAATTAGCCAAACAGTGAGATTGCAAAATTAAAAATATTTCAATACAAATAATTTATAGCAAGCTAAAAAGCTTATTAAGCATGACTGACCAAAAAGACATAATAAGATTATTAAATTATTTCTCATGAAAGCTGTTGTTGGAGAAAAGCTGAGAAGAAAGCTCCTACAGATATTAAAGATTTTGAGGATAGCTTAACTATTACATACTCCAATATTATAATAACAAGCACAAAATACGCTCGCCAATCTACAAGAAGCTTCTAATCTTCTACATGAATCAATTAATTAAGCCGTCCACTGGCTGAGCAAAAATCATCAAACATAGAGTCCACGGGTAGAAGAATAAAACATGTTTCTGAAAATTTATAGAAAATTAAAAATTAACAATAGCCTGTATTCACCTTCAGTTCGAGCATTTGTCTTTTGCGTCTTGGTGAAAACAGATTTCTCAAATGCTAGCTTTGAAGCATTGGTTGGCCAATCATCAGCATAGTACTTAACAGCAACACGCTTCCCCTCAGAGTCCAGAAGAAGAATGTTTTTAACAGAAGGGTAAGACTCCTACATGCAAAAACAAGTAGATAAACAATCAATTAATCACCAGGAATAGAGGCCTCCACCGACAAAAGATAAAAAAAATCCTGTTAGTTTTGAAAGACAACTTTAAGAATAGATCTGTAAAATACAAATCAATTTTCAAGCACATAATAACTGTAGTAGTAATGAGCCTATTAATTAGACTAATAATATATATATATATATAGGCTCATTACTACTACAGTTATTATTAGCTTTTATGTGCTTTCTTTACTTTCTATTTCCATATTTATGTATTTCTTAGTTGGTCTATTTCTGAATTTATTTATTTCCTTCTATGTGGGTCTTGTAATATGTATTTATACCTCTTTTCCTATCCATGAAAGCATTAAGCTTTATTCTCAAAAATTAACAAGGAATCAAAGCCATGGTTCTAACCCTAAGAACTTCTACCCAAGCCGACGGCCACCTGCAGGATTTTTGTTGACGGCCACCTGCAAGATTTTTGTCGACGGCCAAACAACAGGATTTCCAGCCACTGGCCAAACAGCAGGATTTTTTGTCGCCATATTCAACGCCTCTACCCTGTGATCCTAGAGCCATATTCAGTGCCTTGCGATTCTAGCGCCTTTACCTTGCCGCTATTGCGATCCTAGTGCCTTTACTAGATTTAGTGCAACGCTTTTACCCTGTTGTCGGTCAAACAACAGATCTCCAGCTTGCATGTTCTTCCTGGACGGTGTTTCCAGGGCTATTTCCAAACTGTTGAGTCTTTCTCTATCCAGCCTTCAGGATCATCCTATGTCTTGGCAACCAAATATCACATTTAGCTCAATTAGATTCATGGTGAACTCTTCCACCACTGAGCCTTCTCCCGATGGTGTGTACTTGAGTTCACCGGAGGGTCGACAACAATCTCAATTCCTTTGCAGACGGGAGGACCAAAAAATCACAGAACTTTCTTAGCACTCACCCATAAAATGAACGGATCTAATTTTCTTTAATGGTCCCAAGTCGTGTCTTTGTTCATCAAGGGATGTCGGAAATTCAACTATCTCACAATAATGATTCGGGAACCTCCTAAAATTGACCCAACGTATGAAACGTGGGAATTGGAGAATTTCATGATCATGTCATGGTTGATTAACTCTATGGAGACTACAATGGGTACATGTTTCTCCCTTCTACAAATGCCATTTGGACTGCAGTTCGAGATACCTATTCAAATATAGGGAACTCCAGCTAATTTTATGAAATTTTCAAAAAAAATTTGCAAGGCTAAATAGGGATCGAGAACCGTGAACTAGTACTACAATGACTTGGTGGCCTTATGAATGTAATGTGATCTCTACTATAACTACACGGGGGAATCTTTGATAAACTTTTCCCACTTTCTAAAGATTCTAGAAAAGATCATATATTTCAATTTCTTGTAGGCCTTAACAAAAACTTTGATGAAGTCCGGGGCCATATCCTTGGTCGGGATCTCCTTCCTTCTGCTTGACACTCGTCCATGCCATCTCGAGCCACTGGCTCCACTTGTGATTAATGTCACAAACTCAACCATATTCGGGACAAATGTTGGAAATTCCATGGAAAGCTAGCATACAAACCGTCAGCCAAATCCTCATTTGCTAAGGGTCTCACAACGATACCTAAATCTGCTACAATACAACATGCTCCCACTCGAAACACTCTGAAATCACTGATGGAACAATTAATCAAATTGTTTGGATCCAGTTAGCTCTCTTCCAATCCATCAAACTTTCATATCCGTCAAGGTAGCATTCTTATGATACTTCTTTTGTCTCTTCTAGTCTATGAATTATTGATTCAGGTGCCACAGACCACATGATTGGATGCTCTAAAACTTTCTCGACATAATATCCATGCTCTAGAAAAGATTAGTTAAAATTGTTGACGACTCGTGTAACTCTATTACTGGTAAATGGTCGATTGTATTAACAATCGGTCTAACCACGAAATTTGTGTTACATGTTCCCCAGTTGAAATTCAATATGTTGTCTGTTAGTAAGTTGACCCATGATAGAGATTGTATTGCTAATTTTCTCTTGATATTTGTAATTTTCAGGATTGTCGTTCGGGGAGGATGATTAAAACAGTTGAGCAAGTAGTTCGGCTATACTTCTTCCAAGAGAAAGGCATAGAGAACGAGAATATTTGTCTCAATCATTGCAGTTTTTATCAATTATTAAATTTCATATTATGTTGTTGTATTATCATTTGAGTCATCCCAATTTTCAATATTTAAAACAATTGTATTCATTGATGTTTACTAATAAAAATCTGCCTAAGTTCACATGTGAGATTGGTCAATTAGCTAAACATCATCACATTCCATATTCACCCCACCTTACACACCTTCCGCTCCTTTTACACTTATTCAAAGTGACTTGTGGGAACCCTCTCCCACTTCCAACTACACTAATAAAAGGTGGTTCCTTACTTTAATTAATGACTACACTCGAATGACGTGGATCTATATACTAAAAGATAAATATGAAGATGTTGACAATTTCAAATACTTTCACTCCATTTTTACCCAATTTAAAACGCTCATTCAAGTCCTTTGAGCCAACAATGACCGTCAAATTTTTAACTCTATTTTAGGTGAATTCTTGATGAGTAAAGACATCCTCCATCATAGCTCGTGTACGACGCTTTTCAACAAAATGGGGTATTCAAGAGAAAAAAACTGACACCTTCTCGAACAAGCTCACTCCATTATGTTTCAATTTAAAGTCCCGAAAAGATTTTAGAATGATGAACTTGTTGTCACCCATCTCATCAATAGAGTCCCCACAAAAATTCACAACTTTAGAACCTCTTTAAAAATCTTAATGTCATGTTCACCTACCAATCAGTTCTTCACCACTCTTAAGCCCAAAATATTTTGAAGTGCGATCTTTGTTCAAAACACTGCCCCTAATTGATCTCAGGTCTATAAAATGTGTCTTCCTCGGATATTCTGCCACTCAAAAAGGTCATCGATGTATTGATCCTACCATAAATAAACTTTATGTGAGTGTCGATGTCTCTTTCTTTGAAAGTGTTATCTGCTTTCTTGTCACTGCCTCAAATAAAGGTTCTTGATTTCATGGACACTGTCCCTTATCCGACCCCTGTGGATATTTCTCCAACCACTATATCCAATGAGTCTTTTTCCCGTGGATCCGCCACCTACCAGATAACCAGAACCTCCTCCTATCCTCCACGTTTATACTCGGTGCATTAGTCCTGATGTTCCTACTCTATAGAGCGACAACCCCAGAACTAACCCCACTCTGAATGAGAAGGTGAGTTCTGTTAAAATATATAATCATGCAAGCTCTCTTTATTCCATGGAAAATATACATATCTTTTTTTCTATAGTGTATCATCGTACTACAAAGCGTTTGTCATTGTCCAGACGAATCATCATTTCCCATCCACTATTGAAGTAGCATTAACTGATCCTTCTTGTAAAGCTGCAGTAACGGATGAGATGAATGCTCTTCAACAAAATCATACATGGGATATTGCGGATCTTCCTCCAAGTGAGAAGGTTGTGGAGTGGTGTTGGATTTTTAGTACCGAGTTTAACTCCGATAGATCCTTTGAACACAACAAGGCACGGTTAGTCGCTAAAGGCCACTCACAAATATACAGAATTGATTATGAGAAGACAATTTCTTCGCTTGTTAAATTAAACACCATTCGGGTCATACTTTCTCTTACTGTGAATTTGGATTGACCCTTGCTACAACTAAATGTCAAGAATGCGTCCCTAAATGGGGACTCACAGTGGAGGTGAACATGTGCCTCCCTCCAGGCTTTGACTCTACTTTTCCCCGGGGACAAGTTTGTCGACTACGGAAGTCCCTCTACGGACTGAAGCGATCCCTAAAGGCCTAATTCGACAAGTTCACAATTATGGTAACGAGTCATAATTTTTCTTCGGCCCAATTACATCATACTCTCTTCTTTAGGCATTCCTATAATGGCCAAATTGTTATCCTCATCGTCTATGTCGACGATACTGTACTCAAGGGATAATCTACCAGTATTGGAGTCAATGAAAGGCATTCTTGCTATTTCATTTCAACTGAAGGACTTGAGATTGCTCTGATATTTCTTAGGCATAAAAATTGCTCGGCATCTCGAAGGATTTGTCTGTCACAGTGCAACTATGTGTTTGATAAATTGACTGAGAATAACCTTCTCCTATGTAAACCAGTGGTTATCCCAATATATCCAAATGAGAAATTAGCTGATGTTCCCAATGCAGTTCCGGTGGACTCACTACCAACGGTTTGTAAGGAAACTCATTTACCTCGCCCATACTCGCCCCAACATTTGCCACGCAGTATGAATTGTGAGTTAATTCATGCATGATCTCTATAAGCACCATTTCTGAGCTGTCCACAGAATTCTTCACTACTTAAAAGGCACACCAGAGTCAAGTTTATTTTACTTGAGGCACAACTCAAGTTCTATTGTTGTTTACACAGACACGTATTGGGCGGAGTCGTCCATGATCAACGATCAATCTCATGATATTGCTTATTTATGTGGGAAAATCTTGTCATGCGGAAAAGCCAAAAAAAATTTGGTTGTAGCTTGGAGCAGTACAAAAGCCGAGTTACGCTTCATGTCATTGGTATCTATGAAGTCCTATGGTTACGCATCATGCTCTGTGAATTGCGAATGTCATTCTCTAATCCACTCAAGTTGTTCCGTGATAATAAAGTCACTATTAGCATTGCTCATATCAGACCAATCATAGAGAGATTGACAGGCACTTCATTAAGAAGAAGCTTAATTCAAATGAGATTTGTATTCCATTTGCCCCATCCAATGATCAATTAACAAATATCCTCACCAAGAATCTTCTTCGGTCATTATTTAACGACTTCAAATCCAAGTTGAACATGATGAACGTCCATGCTTCAACTTGAGGGGAGTATATTAGAATTATTAGCCTGATTACTAGGTTAATTATTGCTGCAATTATTATTAACTTTTATTTGCTTCATTTATCTTCTGTTTACATATATATGTATTTATACGTATGTATGGATGTATGTATATGTAAGTATAGATATATATGTATGTATATATATATATACATTTTTTTTATAAAGGAAATCGATATTTGACAGAAGCCTAAATATCGATTTTCCATGCATTTTTTTGCCCCATGATGAGAGCCCGCGTCATGTGCCAAAAATTCCAGAGCCCCCACGCCACGGTGGTATCAAACCCTTGACCTGAGGGGACTTATAATGACCCCGCCACCAATAGGCCAAGGCTTGTGACACGTATATGTATACACACACACACACACACACACAGATATATATGTATGTATGTATGTATGTAGTATGTATGTGTATATATATATATATATGGGGACTTATAATGACCCCGCCACCAATAGGCCAAGGCTTGTGACACGTATATGTATACACACACACACACACACACACAGATATATATGTATGTATGTATGTATGTAGTATGTATGTGTATATATATAAGCTGAAATGCATGATGCATATCATGTTAAACGCAATGCAAAATTGCTTTTTTTTTTCTGCAGGCTTTAATAATTAGCAGGAGCAGAAAGCCATTGGCACAGATTCGTAAGATATAGTTTCTTAAGCTGAGTTTTATTTTACTTTTACTTCTTTCTATGATAATATATAAACGAAAGATCCCATAAACGTAATTTTACACCCTGCTAAAATATAAACTGTATAATAATAGCAAAGATCCAGAAATATTCTATGGTTCTTTTAGTTGATATTAATATAACATATAGTGAGTATCATTAAAGGGCTAAACAAATCAAAAATGGAGATAGAGGGATCCGACATGAAAAGCAGCAGCTGAAGTATTGATATACGTAGTTTAGCGTTTTAAAGAAATGGAAAAATGTGTCATACAATGTCATATCATGACAGAAATCAACAGGTATGTCAATAATGCCATAACTATAAAATCTACAAACAACTGTTTAATCTACTCAAAATTGCTCCTATTAGATGGGATGGATTTTGTCGTTGAATGCTAACAGAAGACTCAAAAGTCTCGTGGCAGTGGTAGCAGATGGAGAAACAGTAAGGAGGGCTTTGTCATACCTCATCATGAATGCAAGAAATATATATATATATATATATATATACAACAAAAAGGGGAACTAATAGGTGATCGATGTTTGAAAAAAAGCACTATGCTTAATGCATAAGAGCATGGCATGACAAAGTAAATGCTTCACTACCCAGTGCTTTATGATAAATCTTGCAAATATAATAAAAAGAAGGGGCAGTCAAATACATACCACCAAATTCTTTTGTCTTTACATATATAACACCTAAACTTTACTTCTTGCATCTACCCAAATCATATCACAATAAAAATAACACTATTTGAACTTTTAAAAAGTGACATACACCTTTTTATGCCTAAGTAATCTGGCATATATATAAAAATTGAAGTTTGGGTGTCAGATATGTAACTTCATAAGAGCAGAGTGGTATGCATGTAAATCTTCCATTAAAAAAATAAATAAATAGCACAGGTGCATAAAGCTACATATGGGCGCATGAAACGTAGGTAAACAAGTTGCTTGCTAATACTCCGTTCTTGCACAAGATATATCATGAACCATTAGAAGATTTTATGAGTCAAACTAGGTAAGCTAATAGGTGATGGACTTGATTAAAGTAGGATGTTTTAGTGTCTTGAATTTTTATTGCATATCTAGCATGCGAAACAGACTTGGATGAAATGTAGCAATGAACTGATGCAAAAAGATGCAACTTTTATGGTTAGTTTTAAAATAATTATTTACTAATTTCAATTAAAATTGAAAATAGTTGAAATCTACTTCAAATAAAAAACAAAATTTTTAACAGAAATTAACTGCAATAAATTGAAGGTCAAAGAAAGTCATATAAACAATTGAAATTTCTTGCATAAGAAAGACATATGAAGGAAAACCTAATTAAAATTAATTGTGCTTTCAAACAATAAGATAAATAAGAGAAATGGAAAAAAAATGAAGGGAAGGAACAAAAAGCTGACTAACAAATAATTCTCATGATTGAATGATGACATCTCTCTCAAAATATTTCAACTCTCATACTTTTTTAAGGACTAGTTCACAAAAGAGCAAGAAATATTTCAACATCCAAAATACTCATTTTATTAAATGATATAAGTATTTTTTACATGCCTCAAAAGACTCCTTATGAACATCAATAAACACAAAATTAGATCAATAACAAAAAGAAAGAAGAACACATAGAACCACAGAAGCCCATGAAAGTCAAAACTAACTACTCATAATATTCTAGAGTAAAGGAATCTATGAGTTAGCATCGCTAATCACTTACATAATAGCTTCAATCAAAGGATCCCAAATAGGTATGGTAACTACTCGAAGAATGGCTACAAACAAATAACCCTAATTAGCTATAGTAAATGCCCGCACAAGAAACTATAGGAAGTGTCCAAAAAAATTGTCCTCAATAATATAGGAATATATCATGTCATCAACTTTACTCGCCTTGAAAATTCCAGCTCCAACAAACTATTCATTTAAACACTTCCAACAGATCTTTGATATACAGCATCATAGTAGAAAATATCTTATTAGCAAAAACAGCTTCAGAAATCATAGCAGTAAGAAAAAAAAAGCTAATGATGCATCGGATGTGAAACTAGAATTAGGTGACAATAAAGAACAAATGGCATTGATTGATGTTTAAAATTTATACCAACCTAACTTAAATAGGCAGAAAGGAGAATAAATATTCACGCATCCCACAAACTGTAAACTTTCCCTTTGAAAGGCATCCCTCACTGTTATCATCTTCATATTAAGGTAAAACTCATCAAGAAGGTAGCTTTAATATTCTCCAAAAAAGAGGAAAAATGTTTCTTTTAAGATCATTTGACATTAAGTCCTACCTTCACCCATCTCTGAAGAGCCCCTGTGGAATTTTTTATTCAATATTCAGCTCATTGACTATTGCCTAAAAAATGACCCAACGATTATTATGCCACTCATCCGATATTCATGCATACTAAATTTTAAGCACCTACTCATAAAAGAAAGTTCTGAAAGCCATAGCCTCATCCGTTACTGCTGTTTGTATGGCACAAATGCAATGCTCCTCCTAATGTATAAAAATTTAATTAAGAAATCAGTGCTTCAAAATAAAATTGAAGCAAGTTTATAGATTTTTATAGTGAATGTACATTTTTCCCCCGCATCAACACCACATTATCTGTCAGCTTCCAGCCAACACACTTTCCTAAACTTAAACCACAATGTACAAGCTATGAACCATCTCAATCATAGAATTTCATTCTCGACTACGTTAACCGATTTGGTTTATGTGACAGCACAAAAAGCTACAACTGGAAAAAATCAAGCAGATTCACGCGCGAACACCAAATTCAGGGTCAGCTAAATCGAAACATTAAATTAAAACGAGCATTAACCCAGAAAATCCGAAAAGAATAAGAGAAAAAAGCAACATTAATCGAGGGCACCGACTCGATTCCAACTCTTTACAAGATCCATTATAGTTTTGAAAAAAAGATATAGAGAAAAACTGGGATTAATAAAGCTTATAGCTTAAATTAACTGAGGAGAAGAGAATGCCGATCTCGATCGATCCAGATCGGCAGGAAAAAAAAAAAAAGAAGAGGTGAGAGTATTACCATCCGTAGAAAAAGATGTTGGAAAGCGGAAAACGCTTGCAGATGAGATCGCCGGAGTTAAAAGGGGCGATTGATGTCGAACAGATTCGAGGGACGACGATTCTCACGGATCCGATCAGCAACTCGAAACGACGATCGATGTTTTCGACCTGTCTGGTAAAGGGTTTAGAGCGGAATGTAAGCTGGATTTAACCTAAAAATCTTGACAGAATGTCATTTTGGACAAAAGAAAGCCTCGGATATGATAAATCCGGATTTCACCGATTTGGGCCTTACATCCCAGATTTACTGAATCCCGTATATCGGTGGATTTAGTAAATCAGTGACGAACGCTTCGCGCGAAAAAGAAGACGTGGAGTTACCTTCCTCAATGGTTTCGGGTAGGAGAGCAGCGGAGAGAGGATAAAAAATGGGAGTTTCGGGTCTCTGTAAGCCGCGCTACTGTCCTTCAGTTCTCAGCTAACTCCAATTGCGACTATTGCGAGGCTTCCGTCACGAAGGAGGAGAGTTTTGGACGAAACAGAGAGGGAGGTAGATGGGAGGGTTTCGGGGTTGAACAAATATTGCATCCGGGTAGGGGTGTAAACGAACCGAACACGAACGAACAAATCTTTTCGGTTCGTTTAAAATTTAGTTTGTTTGAAATAAGTTCGTGTTCGTTTCTTAACGAATGAGCCGAACACGAACCGAACACGAGCTGTTCGCGAACGACGAGCCAATTTGACATCCCTATTATTAATATATAAAAATAATATTATATATTAATTATATAACTTATATTATATAAATATACAATATCTATATTAGTATATTACTACTATAGTATAAAATTTAATGTTTTAAAATATAATAAATTTTTTATATATAATTATTTTATATTATTTTATATTTCAAACAATAACGATTCGAACACGAACGAACGCATCACTGTTCGTGTTTGGTTCGTTTAACTAACCGAACGAAAAAAATTTGTTCACGTTTGTCTCGTTTACTTATCGAACGAATCGAACACGAACTCATTGACGAACAGAACACGAACTGTTCGCGAACAACGAGCTTTTTTGACAGCTCTACATCCGGGTCCGTGGCTCCGGCAAAAAGTTGTAAAGTGGTGCTCACTCCAATTTCTCCATCAATGTGGACTCATCTCTCCCCCGTGGACTCCAAAATATGCCACTAGTTCAATAATTCTTGTGATTACCCTCCAATAATTTCGCAGAGGAACTTCAATAAGTCTCTAATAATATCTCAATAATACTTCAATAACATCATACGAAGAACTGATCTAATAACACCTCAGTCCCGCTTCAATAACTCCAACAGAACAATTTCAATAATTGCTTCAATAGCATCCCACAACACCGCGCGGTCAATCGTTTCAATAACTTCAGCAATTCCACTTCAATAAGCCCCGCAGAACAACTCCAATAAGCCCTCAATAATGTCACAATATCCCTTCTATAAGACCTCATATTTAATAATTGTTAAAAAAAAATATAATGTTACCATCTTGGTCCTCTAATGGAATCAGAAACGAGTTACACTATACAAAAGAGTTAATGCGGCGTAATCGGGGACTTATTGAAGTTGTTCTGCGGGGTTTATTGAAGTGAAACTACGGATATTATTGGTGCAGTTCACCACACGGTATTATTGGGGGTTATTACGACGTTATTGAAGCGGTTATTGGAATTGTGAGTTATCGAAGTGGAATCGCAGAGGTTATTGGAGCAGTTCACCGCGCAGTGTTATTGAAGTTTTATTAGGGGGGATATTGAAGCAGTTATTGAAATTATTCTGCGGGGGTTATTGAAGTGAAACTGCGGAGGTTATTGGATCAGTTCATTGTGCGGTGTTTATGAGGTAGGCCTAGTGTAGCACACTTGGTGGTATATTACTGAAATTCGCACACAGAGCTGCGTCCACGCTCCGTATGAAAAATTTTTCTATATATTGACTCCAACTTCTTCCCCTATCATTGTTGAGTTTAACATCTCCACCCGATACCCACCCCATTTACCTTATTTACTAAGTTGTATGTATAGAAGAGATTAAGTGGCATTTATGCCTTCTCACCTACATGATAAAGTGATGGGAATTAAATGGTATGTATATAAATCTTTCCTCACGTAATTTTTTCCTCACGTCGATTAAATAGTCTGACAAATGACAATAGAGAAGTGAGAAAAAATTTAGGGTTACAATTTTCTATTCATTTCTTCTTCATAATTAACTCATTTTAATTTAAATAAGATATTTATTGTAATTATAAATTTAAAAAATTAAATTTTTAACATATTTGTAATTTTGAGAAAGAATATTGAATAAAAAATAAGGATATTTGAAAATTTTAAAGAAAATATTAAATTTTGAAATCATTTATTTAAAATATGAAGATCCATTATGTCCTAAAAAAGAGTGATTTGCATATATACCATTGAAATCTTATGTATTTACATATCGAACATCCAAACTTCAATTTAAAATTGTTCAAATTAGAAACAAGAAAGCGATCATTAACACAAATTTTGTTTAGGAAATTTTAATGCTAAACTCCTCATTAATATCTTATATATTTTGAGATTTTATTGATTTTAGTTTATTAGAAATGTTAAAGCAATATGAATATTTACATGACATAAAAAATTTAAAAAAAAATTATATATACTAATGTGGTACAAAAGAGTATATATATATATATGCAATTAATATATATATATATATAATTGAATGATTAAATGGATCAATGAAGTATTTTAATAACAACAAAATGATCATAATGCTCTTTTTTAAGAATCTATAAATATACAATTTTTGTACATATTCATGAGAGATATCATAGAGGAGTAGAAAGAAGAGAATTCTTAAACTTGAATATCTAAATAGTTGTGATCATTAACACTCAAAATTAGTTGTTTACTAATTTCTATGACTAATGCCGACCAATGTTGACACCATATTCATTGTTCCCTTAACTCAAAGTTTAGTGTCATCTTTCATCAACATTTGGTCCCATAAGAGAAGAATTGATTTAAAATATCTAATATCCAAAATAATCCATTGAAAATCACATGATGCATACAAAGGACCCATATCAGATGTTAAAGACCGACCATCATCTTTATCAATCGTCCTTATATAAGGAGAACAATTAGGCCAACTATCAGTTGTCGCTTTATGTTTAATATTTTAGGTTTTCTATTGTTTGGGCATGCCAATGTTCAACATTTTTTAATTACTAATGCCCAACATCCACTTCTTCATTGATCTCTCTAGTTATAAGGAGATTGATAGAACATGTTTTTGATCATATCTCAATGCTTACATTCTTAATGAAATGACATTTAAATTTTGCAAATGTTCAATATGACAGCTGCTAACATATAGCATGTGTTCGTGGTCATCAGTCTCTCATCTTTTAAGGAGAATGGTCAAATAAAATATTAATCTTTGTGTGACATCTAATATTTCTAGATCATTTCCTAACATTAAACTTTTTGTATTGTTTGATGTTTATCAATTGTTAATGTTTGATGCTTGACCATCAATTGATATTCACGTATATAAAAAGAATGATTGAACAAAACACCAAAAATCACTCAACCTCAAATTTATCCAATCAACTACATGTAATACATGCTAATGTTTAACTTATGTTTGCCATCAACGCTTGATTCCATAATTTTTTCCTCATAAATTGAATTATCTAGTTTACCACTGAGAATATGTGATTTCATAACATTCCTAATTGATTGTTGTCTCACATGCACCCATTTCTAACATTCCAAATTAACTGTTATCTAATATGTGCCTTTTTTTTAACTTCCATCAACCGACTGATTTTATTTTTTTGTCAAAATAGAATAATCAAGCATATAATTTTTTTATCATCTAGCTCAATATTTAATTGATTGATGTATATTAATTGTCAAAAGTTAACATATAATATCCTTCAACTACTGACATCTAATAGCCTTTTTCGTATTCCCTAACTCCCCTCTTATAGGGAGAGCAACTGAAAACGTTGCCTGTTCATTGTTTTAAGGCCCCTTTTACTTCCAACACAGAAGATAGCTTCTATTATAGGTATCTAATATAATGTATTATTGCCTTCTCAAGTTATAAGAAATGGTATAAAAAGGTTGTGAGGAAGGCCATCATTTATAATAAATAGCTCTCACTAATAAAATTATCTCAATTAAGTCAAACTTGTGATTTTTCTATTTCTTAAGTTTTATTTATAAAAAAAAATATTTTTCTACGTGATTTGCTCTTAACTTAATCTAGTGTGAAGAGATTTACATTCAATACTAAAGCAATAAATTATATCTACCACTATAAATATCAAAGCTCTTGTCAGCATATTCAGAGACTATGATTTCATGACATTATTGTTTAAAACAATATCTGACATATTAGGAGTCTTATCATCTAAAGCATAAGTTAAAGCTTTTTTTTTTTTCAAAATATCATAAATTTAAATTAAATATAGTTTCAGTGTATTTTTTTATCCTCGCACATGGAGATTATGACAAGTTGAAATTAAGAAAAATATTTTTGAAACTTACTAATTTTTTCAATTTTGACACAAGCTCACATTCAAATTAAGAGCTCTCACCAATCTCATTGTTAATCTTACAAATAATGATTGATAGTTTACTTATATATAAACAACATAATTGAATTTGTTAAACACATCATATTAGCTCTAATTTATCTAGCTAAGTTGACTAGTGTTGGTCAATGGCCAGGGAATTTAGTGCCCTAATTGAATAGAAAAGACTCAAATGAGTGATTGATGAGAATGAGATTCATTTGATGGGCCTAATTTTGTATTTTTTTCTAAGAGAATATGAACTTTTTCTTTTAAATCTTGAACTAAAAGTTAGAAGGTATCAATAATATTCTTATGATGTTAAGATGCATAACATATCAATTTTGATTTATTAAGGCAAATTATCAGAGTATTCACCGTGGGATTAGTAACACACTTAAATAGTGGAATAAATGAAACTTTTATCACCATAATTGATCAATTAAGCCATACTAATGGATGTTTAATTAGAAATATGGACATAATATTTTCTAGGTTGATGTGAAGTTGAAAATTGGTAACCAATATGACTGATTCTTATTAATTCCCCACTTTATGAAAAGCGCTATAATATCCTTGCAAAAGCCATCTCTCTCTCTCCTCTTGTAAAATAATATGAAATGGGCAATGTGAAAGTTTCTCTCACATGTGCCTTGTTTTGTGATTTCATTTACATTTTTCAATACAAATATAAATTTGTATTAATCTATAATCAAATATGAGAATATATCACAAAGATTCTCAAAATGTAAAGGAACTTATGGTTTATTTGGGACAATTGTAGTTGTTTAAAGAAGCAGTTGTGAAGCTACTTAAAAAAAAGTTTTTGATAAAAAAAACTACTGTGACTGTTACCTTTTTTTAAAAAAAAAATAAAAATTAGACCAAAACTTTCTAGTAATCACCGTAATTAGCCATGTTCGATGGGAAAACTTGCTTTCAGATGCATTTTTTTTTAGAACGTAGACAAAAAGCAGTTTTACCAAATAAGAAAAACTGTGGTGCAGCACCACACCGCCATCACGTCGTTGCCCCAAACACATCCTTAATGGTTTAATTTTGACTTATTAAATATAATTATGGGTGTGTTTATTATTAATTTAGTAATATGTTACAATATCCAAGTAATTGAAAATATTAGTATTTATAATTGTCCAATTAAGTGATTTTTGTGAATGATTAAATAGAGAATTACAATAATATTTTCATGACAAACTATGAAAAATTATAACATATATAATTAATTCATGTTGTATCCCCAATTTTTCCTTACTTGTGACATCACTAGTGTAACAAAGTGGGCTCGGCATCATAAAACAACTTTTGTATAGCACTAAAAATATTAACTATTATTTTTAAGTAGGTGGTCCAACTAAAGATTTGGGGAAGCAATCAAAAAGGTTAAATAAGGTAGACTATAACCCAAATGAAGCAAACCTTGAGACATATTAGTAAAAACAGAGAGGGTCCTAAAAGAATGTTCGTTAGCAGAGTTCAGCCAAGTCCTTTGAGTGGAACTTCCTCAATTTGTGAGGTTTTTGGGATCATTAAAAATGAACATCACATGCTTAAATTGCTTGGATCATGACAAGTGCCATTTGTTATCCTTCTTAATCATATTTTTTTGAGTTAAAGATAATTATATTTATTATTAAAACTCATTATATTTGGGTACATCTAAAGTCAAACCAAATAGATTGAAATAAAGGTTAATTTTGTATATATTGCTTTAATAAAAAGTTCGGTTAGCTCAATTATCTAAACTATACGATCAAAATTAATTTATTTGACAAATTTGTTAACCAAATCATCTCATCCAAATCAATCAAATGTACGCTCATGCTTATCAAGTTTACAAACCTTAGTATTGCTTCCTAAATATACTAAGTTTTGGCCAATAAAATGACTTGTTAATGGGGTCATCTTATTGATTTAACAACCTCATCAAAAGCTTGGCTTGCTTTAAAGATCTGCTTTGAATTTTGATTTTCTCTACTTATTTTTCAATCAAAATAGGTTTGAGTCGAACCAAATCAAAATTGTTGTTTTTTTGTTTATTTTGTCATTCCATTTTCCTTGCAAATATTTTATATTTTAATTTAATTTGAGATTTACATAAAACATAGTTGTGATTTCTTGTACATTTCACTTGAATGGTAATGTAGTTTACTTAATTTCTTAGAATATGAAGACATTAACCCATTTCAAAGAACTCGAATTATATGCTTGATGTATTGAACGAACATCCTTGTAGAGTTCTTTAGATGGTTGGAATTATCCTCCTTTACAATTGGGCTCCTATAAAGTGGGGAATAATATAAATACTTGCATTGTATAGCCATAGATCCTATTACTCGATCCATCCTTGTATTGTATAGCCATGGATCTTATTATTCAATCATCAAATGAAGTTCTTCCACACCCATGCCTGATTCATAAGAATGATATAGACCAATATCATTACCCATGCCTTAGTGTTAGGTATAATATATTGTTCATGTGTCCATTCACATTTTAACATGGTGCAATTCTCTTTACATTGAGTAAAGTCCTAAAGTATATGAATAATCTAATGACTAAATTTTCTGACATAATTATTAGCAAACAAGGCACATAAGCAAAGACATTTAATCCTCATCATTCACTTAGACTATTAATTGGGTTCCCAACCTACATCATAATTTTTTCTTATTTGGATTCTTTTTAGAGCCTAGAAGAAAACCAACATATAATGAAGATTGTCTAAGAAATTGATGTCACAATCCTAATAGAAGAACATGTATGTATATGTATATATATATATATATATATAATTGTTGTGGCTGTTCTTGCAAGTATTCACAAAACTTTTCCACCCTAATATTCTGTCTATTTTTTCTCATGTTCCTTTTTCTTTCCCGACATAAATCTAGATTTACTTAATCTGATTGTGAAGCATATTTATTCTATCATCACTCGCAAACTCCGCCATCTAAGATAAATCTGAATTGACTGGATTTGATAAACCCTACTTAACGTAAAACTAAATTGCATCCAAACAACACCTAATGGTTTTTACACTAGTAGCATTCTTTATTTAAATAATGAAATTAAACAAAACATGAGACTGAGTCAAACCCTGTGAAATAGCATACACATAAACATGAGGGACCATTAGATACAATTTAAAAGAAAATAATAATAATTAAAAAACCATTGATCTATGGGTTTAGCAGGTTGCCCATAACACTGGTTAATTGTAAGCCAGATCAATCACCAAGTGTGGCCTAAAGTAGGCCTGTCATGCATGTAAATTTCCCTTTTTTTTCTTCAAAAGCTGGGCAGAATTAAAGATTAGCTAGTCCAATCACAACTTGAACAAAACTGTCATTCATCTCAATCTAGCCATTTATTTCATACAATTATCAGAAAAACATTTATACTAATACAAATAACATTTTCATGCATGCCCATCCAAGCCTAACTCAATTCGATTTCGACTCAAGCTATGCCTTAGTTCATTAACTTCAACCATAGAAAAAAATCAATCTGGTTTTGAAAGATTTTGACTCAAAATGGGCAAGACACGGGTGAATTAGTTGTAACATATCAAAACTAGCTAGCTGCAATGCAGTAAGTATAGAGGAAATTATATTATCAAACAGCCATTGAAATCATAGTGTGCCCCCAAGTTACTGGGCTTGTTAGCTCACTTGAACATTAACAAGGCGGGCGAGTTGTTAGCTCGGGGAACCAAGAACATGAGCAGAGAAGAAGATTTTAGTGAAATGAGAAGTAAAAAGATTAATATAGCATAAATTTTCCCAGCACAGAAAACAACAATATTGCACACAGGACTAGCAGGTGTAAAGAATGATCGCATCCGCCAAATTGCCATCAAATCACTAACTATAATTCTCAAATTAGTCCAAAATAAGAGCAAATACACCAACCAGCCAGAAAGCTTTAAGAACCACAGCAGGCCGATCTCTCTGGAGCTTTGCTGTCGCCGGCAGCCTGGTCTGGTTTGTTGATCTTAATTGTACGCTCCTGCTGATTAGCAAAATGGCATATTTTAAGGAAAATATAGATACGGAGCACATAATTCCTATGTATTTTCATATCTCACACCTAAACTGTCATATTTACATACATAGCACTTTAATGTATTAAACCTATGCATGAAAATGAGTATTTCATTTTTTACAATGTGATAGCAGTGCTATTTTTTATGTGATATTAAAGATTTCAGTGTTATGAGTGTAAATATGAAAGTTAGGTGTGAGAAATGTAAATATATTAGAATTGTGTGCTATCAGCTATGTAGGTAAACACCTCTTTAAGAAATCATGGACATAAAGGCCTTTGTTGGCCCAATAATGATGAATCATACCTCAGGTTTGCTATCTGACTCTGCAAGCCTTTGCTTGATGTCTCTAGCAATTGAGAAGAAAACTTGCTCCACATTTAGATTTGTTTTTGCGCTCTGCATTCAATCAGATGTAATAACGGATGGAAACATGCATCATATATATATATATCAGAATATCCTAGTTAAAAGGTGATTAAGATGGATCTCAAAACCCTTAGAATTTTTTTAAGAAGAGTGCAATATTGATTACACTCGTTTCAAAACAGGTCCATTCTTACCAAAATTTGAAGAGGATATCCTGAACAATTTCTTTCTAAAAAAACATAAATGAATTTATTGATGCTTACAGTTTCAAAGAACTTGATACCATATTCATCTGCGAGCGCTTGCCCCTTTGAGGTAGGGACAGCCTGAGATATAAAATGTTTTAAGGCATCAGAGTCAGGTCTATTTACAAGTTTCATAAATAGTTTCTAAAAGAGTAAAATGTTAAAACAGTACCCCAATTTTTTACATGGGATCATTTTAGTCATAGAGTTTACAAAAGGGTCAAATTAATCCCCAAACTTCCTATGCAGGGATTATTTCAACCCATATTAAAGAAGTCTGAGAACTAAATCGATACTTTTATAGAATCTAGGACTACAATAAACCCTACAAAGAGTCAGGAATATTTTCTTTTTTTTTCATATGCATGGTAGTATGCTTTGGCAAAGACGAAATGTATGAGAAAAATAAGAGAGGTGAATTCACTCCCATGGTCCATGTAGGCCTTCTGGCTATATGGATTAAACTGCATATGGGGTAGAGGGATATGTAGGGTTGATCAAGCGGGAAAGCATACCCTTTTGCTTTCATCCATGTCCGCTTTGTTACCAACTAGAATCTTGTTAACATTATCAGATGCATGTTGTTCAATATTCCTAATCCAGTTTCTTATGTCTGCATATTGAAAAACAGAACGATGAGAATTTTGTAAAGTAGACCTTAGATTAAATCTAAGGAGAAAAAGATAGAAGTTATTACTGTTAAAGGATGACTCGTCGGTTACATCATAAACAAGTAAAATGCCCATGGCCCCTCGATAGTAAGCTACCAAAAGAAAAAGAAAGAAAAGAGTGCAAGTAGTTCCAAATGTCAAAAAAAATGGTCGAGGTAAAAATTGCAAGCATACCGGTTGTAATAGTTCTAAAGCGTTCCTGACCAGCTGTATCCCAAATTTGTAACTTAATACGCTTGCCATCAAGCTCAATTGTTCTTATTTTGAAATCAATACTGCAAAAGAAACATACAAAATCAATCAGAAATACAGAAAGTCAAACAAACGGCTTAAAGGTGTGTAAATTTGCTATTAGAAAGCAAACTAAAAAAGGTGTGTCCTTGTAGAACCTACCCAATTGTGGTAATAAAACTAGTTGTGAAGGAGCCATCTGAGAACCGTAAGAGGAGGCAACTCTTTCCAACCCCTGCAAAGACCAGAACAAATGAACAAAAAAAAAAAGAGTGACAAATTTAATCATGTTTGTGGTAATAACGAGAACCAATAAAATCAGATTAAGAAAAAAATTCAGCAAGTTTTAACTGTGGAATGAGGTTTATAAACTTTATTTCATGGGCATCACAATAAGGTCATAAAGAAAAAGGGTTATTTGAGAAATCATACACATAAGGCAAATGACAATCAGAACTTGGTTTCTGCAAAAGAAATTTTTTTTCCCTTTTTAATCTTTTTTTTATTATTATTGAAAAACAAAAGGCTCAGTTGGCTGTATGACTTTTGAAACTACATAAATTTGCACTGTCGCTATTAAATGATGTATTTACAAATCAAAATACTTTTGTTTTATAGTATGCTTGGAGAAGTGGGTAGTCATCAGTATAACCCAAATGTCCGAAGTTCAAATCATGGAAACAATGTCTTTGGAAATGCAGGATAGTAGAATTACATACATCATCACCTCTCAAAAACTGCATGGTTGTAAGATTGCATCTATCAATATAAACTATCTTAATAGCCCTTGAAACAATTACATCTGTTAAGAAATGTCATTTGATATCAATATGTTTAGAATGCCCATAAAAATTGAATTTTTCAATAAATATACTATACTTTGATTATCACAAAGAATTGTAATATCTTCCTATCTGAAACCCAAATCCTCTATTAAACCTTTGAATAATATTCCTTCCTTGATGGCCTCAATTGATTCAATGAAATCAACTTTTGTTGTAGACAATGTTGCCACTTGCTACAAGGATGATTTCCAATTGCCTCCACAAAAGGTATAGATATAACATGAAAATAATATTCCATAATTATGCTTTCAACATTAGTCTGAATCCATAAATCTCCAATGACAATTTCATTAGAAACCTCTCCACCTCCTATATGATAATCCCAAATTTATGAGCCTCCAACATGTTTGAGAATCTATTTCAATGCTTCTCAATGCATTCTTCCTATATCAGCCATGAAATAGCTAAGAACATTGATTGTGTAGGGTAAATGCAGTCTTGTATATACCATTCCATACATTAAACTGCCGACAACATTGTAGTATACTTGTATGTAAACTCATTCATATAGCTACTTCCATAATCATCTTGCGGTGCGCTATCAGTTGTTAACCTAAATGTGGAGCCAAAGCTACTTCTACGCCATGCAATCTTGCATTCCAAACATGTCACCTTTTCCAAGTATTGCTTTTATGAAAAAAAAACAGTTTTCTTTCTCCTATAGTTATGGTTATTTGAGCTTTTTCTGCGCCCACATTCAATTGATCCTTGAGACGACATACTTTGAATTTTCCTTCCAATTAATGTATCATCAACACAGAGAAGGAGATACATCAATATATTACCTTCAGTTATTTTTTACTCAAACCATATATACCATCATCTGTCTTAACTGTTTCAAACAATAAATGGATTTATTCAAGAGATAAACTTAAGTTTGATATCCCTTCACAAAATCCTCAGCTTTTTACATATAACAATCTCCTCCAAGTCTCCATGTAGAAAGACGGATTTGGCATTCATTTGATCACACCCTAAATCAAATTTAGCAATGATGGATAACATTATTCTAATAGATATTTGTTTTACCATTGGAAAAAATATGTGATTGAACTTGAATCCCTCTTCTTTGGTTAAAACTTGTAGCAATCAATCTTATCTTTGAGGCCTTTCAATACTAAAAACGTCATCCAGTTATTTGAATTATTAGCTTGTCAACAAGAATCTTGGCGCATTTTTATATGTAACGAAATCATTTTCTCATCCATTGCTTGTAGCCAGTAAGCTAAGCCTTAATAATTAAATAAATGCTTGATAATAAGCTGCTGGTTACCATTCTTCTGAAACTAACATCACGTGAAATGCATGTGCTATGCAATCTGCAAATCCAAATCTTTGCAGACATCGTAATGTAAACCTAGTTTTGTCACTCGTTAGAATATATGTTCTTCTTGATCTCCCTTTCTGTCTGATGGTAGTGAGTCATCTTCATTGGCTGAACCCTGCATTACAGCTACCTGTTTGTCATCACTTTCATTGATTTTCCAACCAGCTTTTCGCATCACTCAATGAATCAATAGTTTCTTGGGTGAAAAGAAACTCCCACTCATTGAGAATTAAATCTAATAATTCACATTTGATATTCAGGGTTTATGCAACACTATATATAACCTTTAACGCCATCATGGTAACAAAAAAAAAATACATTTAGATGTTAATGGTTTCAATTTATCTCATCAAATGTGCACATGTAGCTTGTACATCCAAATGCTTGCAGATTTCCAAACATGAGGATGAACAATATTGGCCTCGATATAAGCTCCACAATTCGACACAATCAAACACAATGTTGAAGATAAACATTGCACGAAACAGGAATTGGATCAAGTCTACATTGCACCAATCATTATCAAAGTCACTCAAATGACATCCATCCACAAAAAAGATAACGCCAACACATTAAAAACGTCAAAGTCACCGTAAATATAGCATTCATATTGTTTGTGTCCTTGCATGGATACGGAGTACGAATTGGTGTAGATACAAAGTTGATGACAAGAACATCAAGATGAGTGAATGATCAATCCAAGCTAAGAAAGTATTATATTTATATATATATATATATATAGTTGATCAATATAAACTTCATCAATGCATTTTTATTACTTTTATTACAATGCTTATACTAAATTTTATTTACAAAATGCTAAATTAAAATTTTCAAAATCCTCCTATATACTTACTCCCACTATTTTCTTCCCATACCCATGATCTCCATAACCACCTATCTTGAATGCTCTTCTCGATTGGTCCCATCTTCCTCATCCAGCTCAAAATGGTCTCCCCGTCCTCCTCTACAGCAAGCAAGCTAGACCCACTTTCACTCCATTCTCCTCTGCACGACCTCAAAACCACAAGCACTCAACTTTGTAGCTCTAATGAATTCATCACACTGCCACCCCAAGCCCTCATTTTCCCTCTTGTGCTCCCTCTCCTCCCCAAACTGTTGCCCACTGCCTCCTTTATGTCTATGTCTCAACCCTACTTGCACGACTGATCTAAGGACAGCCATGCAAAGGCCTCCCTTCTCCATTCTACCACGTAATTTGAAATCTACACATGCCGAATACTGCACGTGAAGCACAACCATGCATCAAACTGAGGTCCACAATCCATCAACCATCTCACCCATCCAAAAATCAAAATCCTGTTATCGAATACCATCTCCTTGTGCCACAGTTCACACCTATCCTCCCTTTCAAATCCAACAACACCATAGTTTTCATCCATCGCACGAATTCATTTGCATACACGGCAAGCCAACCACTCCAGCCCACCGAACCACCTTGCCCCTGGTAACACGTCCTCTGACTACCCTATCCACTAGGTCCTCTCAATTCTCCAGCGATTTTCCCTACCTTCCTTCTGTCTCTACACAGAGAGAAAATCTCCCATTCTCTCCCTATAAATATTTATATATGTGCGTAGTACATTTATATAAAAAATCAATGAAGGAAATACATAGAAAAAACTCTAGAAAAAAACTATATGTTTTGCATCTTGCAAAAGTTGTCTCATCATCATCAACACGTGCTCACACAAGTGCAACTATTAAAGGTCTATGCACACCGTCTAGTTCTAGAGACAAAATTATGGTTGTGATCTCTTATGACACTGACCATGCATGCCTTTGGCATTATGTGAAGGCTTAGTTCTCCAATTAATGTCCTCTATACGGGGAAGATGTTGTGAGGCAATCAAAATTTTTAGTAATTTAGACTTGAAAAAACTACGTTATAAAAACTAATTAGAAAAAATAAAATAAAATAAAAACTATTATCAGAAAATATTGAGCTAAAAGATGACAAAAAGTATAATGAGAAACAAGTTTAAATTACGAAGAACAAAAAATCATTGCACAAACTATTGTACAACTTGCTTCAAAAAGAAAAAAAGTGAGTACACACAGGACTTGAATAAACTTTGTAGGAGACTTGTTGGCTTACATATGATTACAAAAATGACCTTATAATAAACACTAAAACTTTAACTTTTGTCAAAAAGTAAATTGAAGAAAGTCTTTTAATATGCTCTTGTGTAGTCTATACTTGCATTAGAATAACTAGAAACAATTTGAAATTACACAAACATGTTTTAAAAAATCATACTTGAAGACACAATAACTCGTTGATGAGAATGACCAAGTTATCTTGATCATTCATGGGCTCAACAAACTATTGATTAATGCAAATAGATATCATAGTATTGAATGCATAATAAGAATCTAGACTATCACATTCGCAATTGGTTTTGCAACGGGCATAGAAGGGGGCATAACATCATATAAAAATTCAAAGTTACGTTTTGCGCGGGATATGATGACAAATTATTTATACAAAATAGTTAACTCTAAAGATAGTTTCAAGTCATGTTCATCCTTCTTTAATTTGCAACTTAAACACATGATCTCGAAAGACATGTGTTGAAAAGCATGTGAAATTTTGCAAACCATCCAACAATATAAAATTTGAAGCCCATATGATCTCTAACGATCATATCAAAAATTTAAATCTAAACATCTGAAAATGCTGCTTAAACTTTGATGAAATTGTATCACAATTCTTTCTTTGAAAAGTGTGCATGGTGTGTAGGTAACAAATTTTAAGCGCATGTGCTCACCAATATACCGAGTCTCAAACATAACGTATGAGAATATTACGCGAGCTAAAATGAAATACTTAAATTGATCTTGTTCTGAAAAGCGTGCAAATCCCTTTTTTAAAAAGCCTAAACTTATTTTAAAACTGCAAACTCTTTTTTTTTTCCATCCCCCATACAAGAACCTGAGTTGGAAACACCAAATGAATAGTCTTAATGGACCGTGCTCTCTCAATATTGACAGAAGTAATTAACCATAAGTGTTTGCATCTATGGGAAACTCAAATCAGAT